TTGGACATGGGTCCAGTGTCCCTCCCATAAGGTTGGGGAGGGGCTTTTAGAAGGTGGGCGGGCTTTGCCCGCCCACCATCCCATGATTTCAAATAGGCCTTCTCTGCAGTAGCTCCCTGACCTGGCAACTGTCACATATCATCTATCATGTATTCTAAAATATATACAGAAAATGGACATAAGTCTTTAAAATAATTATAGTATCAGAGGGGTAGCCGTGTTAGTCTGAATCTGCAAAAGTGGCGAGGAGTCCTGTGGCGCCTTATAGACTAACTGAAGTGTAGGAGCATAAGCTTTCGTGGGCAAAGACCCACTTTGTCAGATGCATGTAGTGGAAATTTCCAGAAGCATGTATAAATATGCAGGCCAGAATCAGGCTAGAGATGACAAGGTGGATCCAATCAGGGAGGATGAGGCCCACTTCTAGTAGCTGATCTGGAGGTGTGAATACCAAGAGAGGAGAAACTGCTTTTGTAGTTAGGTACAAATAAGTGACAGTCACATAAACACCACCCTGTGCCGAAAGCCTACCGACCGCTATGCTTACCTGCATGCCTCCAGCCTCCATCCCGGACACACCACACGATCCATTGTTTACAGCCAAGCACTGAGGTACAACTGCATATGCTCCAACCCCTCAGACAGAGATCCATACCTACAAGATCTTCAACAAGCATTCTGTAAACTACGTTACACACACGAGGAAGTGAGGAGACAGATTGACAGAGCCAGACGCGTACCTAGAAGCCTCCTGCTATGGGACAAGCCCCAATGATCCCTCGCTTTCACAGGCCTTGGGAGGCAGGCCAGTCCTTGCCCACAGACAACCCGCCAACCTGAAGCATATTCTCACCAGCAACTATACACTGCACCATAATAACTTTAACTCAGGAACCAATCCATGCAACAAACCTCGGTGCCAACTCTGCCCACATATATACACCAGCAACACCATCACAGGAACTAACCAGATCAGCCATACTGTCACTGATTCATTCTCCTGCAGATCTACTAACCTAATATATGCCATCATGTGCCAGCAATGCCCCTCTGCTATATACATCAGCCAAACTGGACAGTCCCTACGTAAAAGAATAAATGGACACAAATCGGATATTAGGAATGGCAACATACAAAAACCTGTAGGGGAACACTTCAGTCTTCCTGGACACACAATTGCAGATCTAAAGCTAGCCATCCTGCAGCAAAAAAACTTCAGGTCCAGACTTCAAAGAGAAACTGCTGAGCTACAGTTCATCTTCAAGTTTGACACAATCAACTCAGGATTAAACAGACTGTGAATGGTTAGCTAACTACAAAAGCAGCTTCTCCTCTCTTGGTATTCACACCTCCAGATCAGCTACTAGAAGGGGGCCTCATCCTCCCTGATTGGATCCATCTTATCATCTCTAGCCTGATTCTGGCCTGCATATTTATACCTGCCTCTGGAAATTTCCACGACATGCATCTGACGAAGTGGGTCTTTGCCCACGAAAACTTATGCTCCAACACTTCGGTTAGTCTATAAGGTGTCACAGGACTCCTCGCTGCTAAAATAATTATAGTAGTAATTAGTAAGAACATAAAAATGTAAGTGTATTACAGTATTTGACAAATGCTCATAATCACTGAATCATTGCCAGAATGGTGAAATATATGCATTACTACTTGTAAATGAATTTTAGCAGAGTATTTATTCAATTCATTAATGATATATTGATTGTTCCTGCTGTTCTTAGGCCTGCTGAAGATGACTGCTGAGGTCATTGTGGTTTTCGGACAATCACAGCTGACTGTCTCTGGCCACTTGATTACTTACCACAGGACCACTAAGGTGCCATTCTTCTCCTTTCTGGTGGGCTCAAGCTACTTCTCAGATGCTAAAGCACCATCTGAGGGTGCTGTCACACCCTCTGGCTTGAATTAGTTTCCACTGTATATAGAGTATACAGTTTGGCTGAAAGGCCCTTAGCACCCCTACTATAAAAATTGTTCCTGCATCCTACTAATCGCATGTTGGAATGAATCTTGATGGGGAGGATTTTATTGTATTATTGATGCTAGCATGTTGTTGAATGAAACCTCTGCATCTTTTCTTTTCACCAGTTAATGAAACAACACTTACTGTAGTTGTATTTTGGTATGCAAGCATGGTCATTGCTTTAAAGCAATCTAGTCAAATCTCTAACACTCTGGAATTGTTCTTAGAACAGATAAAATTATTTGACTAAGCGCTCAATCTTAGCAGGTTATAAAACCCTGTTCTAGAAGGCAGGGATGTTCTTTTAAACCACTCTGAGCCAAAATTCAGGGTAATTACTGCTAAGTCATATTGAGAGATGTGTCCAACTGGAACCAGCCAGATGATAAAAATATAGGTATGTGTATTTGGTCAACAGAGGCTCTGGTGGGAAACAGCCAAGATCTGGAAGGAAAATTATGTGGCTTTTTATATTGCATTATTGTTTGGCGTTGCCTATGAAGTCGAAGATCAGGAAGGAGTGAATTTGAACTCTGACTCTGGTTCTGCCTATTTTATTGAGGATGGGACAGAAAGAGATTCATTCTATTCACATCATTATATTTGGAGTTAGGAGATTTATTGTCTATTTAGAAAATGAGGAAATCACTTAAATCATAGGAAAGTGAAAGAAAGTAGGAAAGCAGAGACTGTCTGGATTTGCCTAGCAGCAACCTTAATTTCATTCCTAAGGAAAGTCTCTAAATTGGGTGTCTTGGCCCTGGGAGGGAGAATAGTCCAGGCATTCAGTATTATTTGCATTAAACTGGGCTTTGTGGTTAGCTAATTTGGTTAAAAATTTGGCTCATTTGCAGCACTCAAGCTCGGGGGGAGGAGGAGGACAGGGGATGGGACAGGTATGGTGGAGCACTCGGAGGAAGAGGCAGGTATCTGTGGAGTCTCGCAGCTAGGGACTAGGAGCATAGCCCCATAGCTGGCAGCCTGGGTTCAGAGTGCAAATTTCAAATTGATAGGGGTTTAAAGCTCCAATATCTTGTCCTAAAAGTTAATAAGCTTACCAGGCCTTAAATCTGTCGCTTTAATTCTGTTCAATCTGGGCCTCACCCCAGTGTAGTTTTGGCATAAATAAATCAATTGATCTATCAATCAATCCATCCATCCACATTTATGGAGAAAGTAAGATTTTCTGGCATGTTTATTTACAAAGAAATGATGGTTCTGTATGAATATACAGATTAAATTAGAATATTCATTTAAATCAAAAGTGCACCTCTTACCTGGCCCATTGAGAAAGTCTTTAATTTGCAGTGTGACAAGAGAAGGTGGAATGCCACTTTTCGCATCTATCTCTCCTGCTACTGTCTGTAGCCAAACCTTGCAATAATCAAGAGCTTCTGGAAGTGTCTTTCCAGGATCTGAAGGTGATATAGCATATGAAAATTAGCATTTATATACTATTTTATATATAATGTTTGTAGTATATACACAGAGCCAGTATATCTACAGGTACATTAGTGTGTGAATATGTATATATGAAAGAGTACATTACAAGAATTATACTTAGTTTTATTATTATTATACTTAATTTGTGCTAATAAGCCAAATTTTGTATTACTAAATATAAAAAGACATTGTCATGGCTGTTCTTAGTTTAGCTTTACTGCTAGGAAAGATTCTTGAATATTTTACTTATTCATTCCAAAACTGATGTATAAGCTAAAAGTTGCTATTAGTGACATGAAACCTTCATTAGTAACTACTTATTTGCATCACAGTAAACACAAACAACAGAAAGCACAAATTATACAGAAATCTAAAAGATCAAAACATTACAGGGTCAAACATGCAATGTAGTTATTTGGCGTTTTACTGACACGACAGTCACTTTTTACTGATAGGCTTTTGCAGTTTACTTCTGCTGTTATTGCAGATCCCCTTTAATGGTACATCTTTTGTCAATTCTTATTATTCACACTGAACAAAAAAGTCACATTAACTTCTGATCAGTGCTGTGCATTTCTTCATTTTCTGGCTTCCATAGATGACAAAAACATCACCAGATTATTTTTAATCTTTGGCACCCCTGAACATTTTTTGTAATAATTCTGTTAAAAAGTAAATGCTGAATCCTAGAATTTCATGATGTTTTTAAAATCTTCCAAATAGTCACAATTTTTCTTTAGTTCCAAGTTTCTCTCTTTGGTTATAGGGAACAGCCAGCATGGATCTGTAAAGCATAAATCATGTCAAACCAATCTGATAGCTTTCTTTGATAGGAAAACGAGTTTTGTGGATAAGGGAGAAGCGGTAGATGTGGTATACCTAGACTTTAGTAAGGCATTTGATAGAGTCTTGCATGATACTCTTATCAATGAACTAGGCAAATACAACTTAGATGGGGCTACAAGAAGGTCGGTGCATAACTGGCTGGATAACCGTACTCAGTGAGTAGTTATTAATGGTTCACAATCCTGCTGGAAAGGTATAACAAGTGGGATTCCGCAGGGGTCTGTTTTGGGAGCGGCTTTCTTCAATATCTTTATCAACAATTTAGATATTTGCATAGAAAGTATGATTATTAAGTTTGCAGATTATACCAAACTAGGAGGGGTTGTGACTAATCTGGAGGATAGGGTCATAATTCAAAATGATCTGGACACATTGGAGAAATGGTCTGAGGTAAATAGGATGAAGTTTAATAAAGACAAATGCAAAGTGCTCCACTTAGAAAGGAAAAATCAGTTTCACGTATACAGAATGGGAAGCGACTGTCTAGGAAGGACAGAAAGGGATCTAGGGGTTATAGTGGACCAAAAGTTGAATATGAGTCAGCAGTGTGATGCAGTTGCAAAAAAAGCAAACATGATTCTGGGATGCATTTACAGGTGTGTTGTGAGCAAAACACGAGAAGTCATTCTTCCGCTCTACTCTGCGCTGGTTAGGCCTCAGTTGGAGGATTGTGTCCAGTTCTGGGCACCGCATTTCAAGAAGGATGTGGAGAAATTGGAGAGGGTCTAGAGAAACACCTAGGAAGGAAGTCTGAAAGAATTGGGTTTGTTTAGTTTAGAAAAGAGAAGACTGAGGGGGGACATTATAGCTGTTTTCAGGTATGTAAAAGGGTGTTATAAGGAGGAGGGAGAAAACTTGTTCATCTTGGCCTCTGAGGATAGAACAAGAAGCAATGGGCTTAAACTGCAGCAAGGGAGGTTTAGGTTGGACATTAGGAAAAAGTTCCTAACTGTCAGGGTAGTTAACCACTGCAATAAATTGCCCAGGGAGGTTGTGGAATCCCCATCTCTGGAGATATTTAAGAGTAGGTTAGATAAATGTCTATCAGGGATGGTCTAGACAGTATTTGGTCCTGCCATGGGGGCAGGGGACTGGACTCAATGACCTCTCAAGGTCCCTTCCAGTCCTAGTATTCTATGATTCTATGGTTTTTAGGTAACAGAATGCCATCCTGGCCCTTTCCCATTTCTATGTTGTAATAATTTTTTGCCATTGAGTTCTTCTCTCTAATTTTTAGTTAACTTGAAAAGTATTGGTATAGTTTTATTTATCTTGGGTTTTACTGAGAGGATTCCTTTCAAGTTCAGATTTACATACATACCCACCATTACAATCAATATATGGTAATATAGTGTAACAGTCAAATGTGACCTGGCTATATAAATTCCTGGCTTGGAATTTCTATTACTTGACCTTATCATGTGATTCATATAAAACTTGGCACATATGAACCTTATGTGATTTCAAAGAACAGACAGAAACCAACTGATCATGACTTAAGATCTATATGGAAAAGATCAAAAGTTAGCACATTATTCTGCTTTTATTTCAATTTTTTGGGGCCACAATGACTTTAGAGGAATGTATGTACTGTGTAGCAGTTATATTACAGCCAAAGTACTTTTTTCACTTTATTTTCTTTCCATTATTGATTTATAAAGTCACTTCTCAGAAGTTATTTTAAGAGCATTTTATTCTTGAACACTGCATACAGTATACATATACTTTGTCCATTTGGATTTCTCCATTTTCTATGGTTATTATCAGGGCTCGCTGAGCTGCGGCGAGCCCCACTCGCCAGCCACACTGTCTGGCGTTCTGCGCATGCGCAGATCGCCTAAACCCGGCTCTTCCGGGATGTAATCTACTCGCCATGAGCGAGTAGATTACATAAATTGTTGACCTCTGATTATTATACTTTCTCTTTAATTATGCTGAGCAATATGATCTGGTGTATTCCCTCATATATTATTATCTCTTCATGACAAGTGTGTGTCTTTCTCTCTGGGTACGTCTACATTAGCCCCCTAGTTCGAATTAGGGAGGCCAACGAGGGAGACCAAAATTGCTAATGAAGCACGGGATTTAAATATCCCGTGCTTGATTAGCATATTCTCAGCCAGTCGCCATTTTGGAAACTGACTAGCCCGAAATAACTGCCTGCGTCTACATGCGGCAGAGAAGCGGGATTCCAAGATAAACCGCTTAGTTCGAATTAACTGTTAAGCCTCATTCCACGAGGAGTTAATTCGAACTAAAGTGCTGCTGGTGCTGTTTGTTTTGCTGCATAACACAAAGTCTTAATTTTTGTACTAATTGTCCATCACACAGTTACAAACATCATATGAACATCAATTACCACATAGTGAAAACCTTCTAAAGATTACAGAACATAACACAAAGAACGTCACTGATCCATATAAACTAACAGGTAGGTATTGTTGCTAGAATAAACTGCAAATTTGTTGCACCTTTTCTCTTGCTTAATACTTACATGCACTTTTCTATGATCCATGTACAGAAGCATTTTTGCTATAAATGCCTAATAGTTATTATATAGTTGTAACTCTTTAAATATGAAGATATCCATCAAAATAGATTCAAAGTGTTAAAATATGGGAAAGCTCTTTGATTAAATATTAGATATACAAATGCAGGAGACTGAACAGCAGGATAGTATTTGTATTCAAGAGGATTTTTTTTCTATTTTCTAAAAGACTCAAGTGATACTAAACCTGGATCATTAATGAAGTTCTTAAGTACTAAGAAGAAAATTATGGTTGAAAGATTGCAAAATAAGATTGGGTGGCAATGTGAACTGGGTTATTCAAAGACTAATAATGAGTGAGCACCAAAAATTAGCAGGAGGCTGGAGAGATTCATTTAAGAGGAAATGTAAAAGGAGTAAAATGAGAGTTGTTTGTCGTAGGTACAATCTAAGGAGGAAACCATGTGCAAATATTTGTAGATTTAAACACCAAGGAAGGAATAAATCATTTAGCATGCCACAGGGGCTATAAATTATCACAGAAATAATAGAATGAAATTCAGAGGAGAGAAAATGTAGGCTGAATATTAAAGAACTTCCTAGTGGTGAGATCTTTTAGAATATGCAATAATCTCTTCAGGGAACTGGTGGAAACATTATAGTTTAGAATGTTTAAAAACAGAGTGAAAAACATGCTATAAAATGCACAATAGGGAACAATTATGCATTGGCAGTGAACTAGCTTATATAAACTAATATAATAGGTCTTTGCTATCTCCTTCTCCTATGATCCCCTCAAAAAAAAAAGAGAGAAGAGAGTAGGAAATGTTCGATTATGCTGTGGTATGAAAGATAGAAAAGCATCTGAATAGCTATTATGTATTGATAGCCAAGATGGCAATTTTGAGATACTAAGAATCAGACTCTGACAACTGACAATGAATGGATTACATCTCCGCCAGAAGCTGATTTCTATCAGAAAAATCTGATCTAGGGTTCATCAGTTCACTCTAATTATGATGAACCCTAGATCACATTTTTCTGATGACATAGGAAATGTCATACTGGGTCAGACCCAGGAAGGCAATAGTCCAGGATACCATCTAATGGGGGCCAGGACCAGTATCTTACATCAGCAGAAGCTGCAAGAAACCCTGAAGTAGACAAATCTGGTTATCCTGTTCCAAATGAAAAACTCAACCTCATCCCTCGTACTTAGAAATGGGCTTAAATTCTGATACATTAGGTTTTATATATTTTTAAAAGCCCTTATTTTAGATTTAACTAATTAAAGATAACATTATTGTTGTTGATAAATTCAAACCCTCTTTGAAGCTTTTGGCCCTTATGATGCCAAATGGATCAAGACGATTGTCCATGAATCGGGAGCAAAACCTACGCCATTTGTGCAGATAAGTGATTCGAGTAGCAAGTCTTCTATTGTGGATCAGGACCTATTTGATGTCCTGGGAGCAAATCATTTCTGCGTCTTGGAACCAACTAGGAAGAAAGCTGTGAGGCAAAGGTGGTTGGCTTGGGTTGAGGATGCATGAGAGTTCCCTGGTCCTATGTCAACAGATCGTGTTGTCTGGGTAGGTGGTGGGGTAGGTGATGAGACATATGAAAGAGATAAAGTAA